TTGGTACTTAGTGCTCGCCGTGGTTTTCTGGCATGCACTCCCCTCAGCATGGTGGCGTGGGTATACCATTCCCCATAGCCACCTCTAGAGGATGCAGTTCGAAGTTCCCTCGAAAGGGAACATCTCAGGTAATGTATGTAACCATGGTTCCCCTTAGAAGGGAACGAGACACTGCGTCCTTTAGTTTTCTTGCCATGCTGCGGACGCAAGCTTCAGACGAAGAAGTGGATGACGTGTTATCCCGGCGTCCTTTTATACTGTGATCGCGTGATTAGGGTAATGACGTCATAGGCTGTCGCTGGCCAATGTTATTGTCGTTTTTAGATGTATGCTTCAGACACCGGTCACGCTGAAGGCGTTCCCCATAGCGACCTCTAGAGGACACAGTGTCTCATTCCCTTCTCAGGGAACCATGGTTACATACTTAACCTGAGACGTTATACGCATGTATGAATATCTATATCTGCAACAGAATTCTGCAGATGATTTTGCTAAATTAACACGATACAAGATGAAGGCATTAACTATAACAACATTAAAAAGTTACCATAGTTTAAAAAGCTGTATTAATGCATATAAAAACACAAACAAACACATTCTCACCTGTGAAAATGTATCCAATATTTTCTTAACTTACTGCTTTTTACTGCGAGTGACAAAACGTTGAACGTTCAAAGATGGCGGATGTGTTTGGAGTGGTCGAATGTGGGATCTACGTATACATGTCTATGACCCTAACAGTCTACTCTAATGAGAGTTAGTTAACACGCAGTTGCAAATTAATGAGAGTTAGTTGACATAAAGTTGCAAAGTTCCTTAGAGTTAGTAGAGTGGACAGAAAAGATCTGTTCACTGAAAGCTTCTTTAGGGAATACAAAATGGTTCTTCTATGGAATTGCTATAAAACCCTCTTTTGCAGAGTGACCAATATCCTACCATTGTGACGGAGCACCACGGCCATGTAATCCTGGGTTTTTGAGCTGACATAGACTAGAAGGCTGGGAGAAGTGGAGGTGCTGAAGCTGAAGGTCAGGTCTTCACATGTCAGGTTGGTCTCGACAGGAAGGTTGTGGATAACGCTCTTCTCATCCAGGCTGGAAGCTGCAGCCACCACCTCAGGTACCAGATTATACTTGACCAGTGTTCCTGCCTCAAAGAAACCACCAACATCTGGAAAAGATTTAAACAACCAATCAGATTTGAGGGTTAGGTATATGCCAAAATAAATACAATCATATAGTGAACTGATACTTTTATTTAGTAAAATGTTTTTAAAATGTTTCTTATGCTCACAAAGGCTGAATTTATTTTATCAAAAATACAGTAAAGACAGCACAGTATTACTGTAAAATATTATTAAATTTGAAATATATA